CTCAGAATCAATCCAGTGCCCGGGCCGGCCAGTGTCGAGCCACAGAGGAGGAGGGGAAGGGGTCCTTCTCCCCCACCGCCGGCCGCCGCCGCCTTGGCCGTTGTCATCATGACGGTCAGCCTCGGTTTACGCTCGGCTCGAGGCTTTAGGGGGGGTTTATAGATCCTCCTCCCCTAACCCGATGCCACTCCGTGCCACTCCGTGCCGCTCCTCAGCCCCGCGCGGCGCCACCGCCTCTTAGGGAGTCCTCTTCCCCGCCACTCCACGCTTTATCGGTTTATAAAACGACTTTACCGCCGTCTCTGTTTTTTGCTCCGCGATATTGGTTATCCCCGGTGCGGTTATGACACGCTGCTGTCTCCGGGAGGACGCGGGGAGGGGGAGGAGAAGGGGGAGTGATGGCAAGAGCAGCAGCGAGTATAGCTGCTTTTATGAAAGCGATCGCGCGTGGGTCCGTAACGTGAGCTTTTGTCGCGTTCGTTCGCCTGCTTCTCTTCGTGGATGCCGCCACCACCCACGCCCTAAGCCTACTGAGGCGGAGCGATTTCTCGGCAAATAAGTATCTTATAAATTAAAAGCCAACTCTCGCTCCTCCGAGATAGAAAAGTATGACATCACCCCCCTTCTCTTCCTCTCCCCCAGGCTCCGCCCGATGCGTCTCTTTCTCTCGCGAGCCTTGTCTGCTGTCCGCGCCTCTCTGGTCCTTCATGCCCCCTTTGGCGCTGTCCGAGCTTTGATTGCACGGAGCCAATGGGTCCGCGCCGCCCCCGCGTCGTGGAATGCCGCCCCCTGGCCGTGCCGCCCCCGGGCCGGCCCGTCAGACAGTGGCTATAACGCTCGACACGCGCGGCCAGCGCGGCGTCCCAAGAAAAGGCGACGAAATAAATCCCAGTAGCAGTAATTGAATTCCATTGTGTTGGGCCGCACAATGCCCCTGGGCTGGGTGGGGTGGGGTGGGGGTGTAGACACACCGGGCGAGGGGCTGCAAGCGGGGACGGGCCCTGCATATCGAGCACGCGCTAGAGTACGTCGAGTACATAGTGAACAGTCGCGTCGTCTGCAGTACCAACAACAGCTAGCCGCTCGACAGCAGTTTGCTTAAGTGGAGGATCAGGTTTAGCACAAAATGAGGTTACAAGATTTGTTTTAAAACAAACAACTCTGAG